ACTGCTCACATGGACCTAAAATTAAAGACAAAGATTCCAGAGCAAAAACAGTTTCAAACTTCCAAAGTTTCGTCTCATATCCGCGGAGAGCTGCACGTCTATCTTTACTAATTGAATTTGAATCTTTTAAAATTTCTTGTACTGTTAAAAGAACTCTTTCATAATTTTCTATAAATCTATTAACTGCTTTTACTCGGACTGTCCATCTTGTAGGACAAAAAGGAATAATGCCTGGTATATTTTCAGTTTTATAGTCATTTTCTTCATCTAAGTAAGTCGAAAGAACAATACCAGAAAATATGTTTTTGCGTTTTGATGAATCTAAGATTGTATTGCTTACAAATCTGATTAAATTTAGAGCATCATTAGCAAAATCTACAGTTTTAATAGTATCACTCAATGCTAAGTCCAATGAATGATTTGAACAATGAATAAATATAGATTTAGGTTGTACATCAGAAATTCGCTTTTGTACTCCACTTCTATGACCAGACATAGTTGCCGCTCCGTCAAAACAAAGTCCTCTAACATTTTCAAAACTAAGACATATACGTGTCAATAAATCAGTGATGCAAGAAAATAATGTTTCAGCATTTCCACTTGGAGGATTATACATACCCACAAAAATTTCGTTTATATTTAAAGAAATTGTATTTAAGAAACGAAAACAAATGCTAAACTGTTCTTGACCAGAAATATCTGTAGTGCCATCAGCCATTATGGCCATAAATGGACTTTTTAGAACTGAATTTTTAATCTTCCGTAAAACAAAATGCGCCATAGTTTCAAGTAACTCGTTTTGAATATCCCCACTTAACCAATTGTTTCGTTTTTCAAGCCAAATTTTTAGTGCAGGATTTTCAAGTGAACGCTCTTGTAATAAATAAATTAAGTTTCCAGAGTCCCATGTACCACCACGAATAGCTTGACCACTACGAGCTAAGTAACGAATAGAGCTAATAACAATTTTAAATACTGTACGAGCTTCTTTTTGTTCATTTAAAGACTGTTCAGTAATTAAAGATATAACAGGACGAGAGTTGTTACGAAAATTTAAATATTCTATTGATGCTCTATGGTTTTCACTTTTTTCGTGTATAGAAAACCGCTCAGTGCCCTTCTTCCAATTTTGAAACCCAGTATCAACAATTCTTGCCCATGAATTTTTATTTTTGTTATTTTAGTTTGACTGGCCAAAGTACACGGATAACATAAAACAACATTTTTTTTTCTTTCACATAATGTAGCCAACTAAACGAATTAAACCATTTCAACTGACATGATCTTCCATTTGTTTTAGGGAATACAAAATCGTTTTTGGGAATAAATTGTTAAATAAATATTATCTTTAGAGGTTTTTATTTCTGTTACGGGTAGTGTAGATGCATTAATGGGGATGATTTCTAATGCTTGTGATTGTTTGTTTATACCAGGGTCGTCTACGTTAATTTCTTCATCACAATCTAAAGTTGTTATATACTAAATATTAATACAATATAACACATTAACACATATAAACATTTACATTAACATTATATTAACACATATAACACATTAACACATTCGAGACGATTTAATTTAGTTATTACTAAAAAACTTAAATATAAAAACAAATTTATAAAAAAAATCATAATCCTTACTAAAATATAATRCGTAAATCGTTTACTTGGCACGCTCTGTATAATATCGTAATGGTAAAATTAATGTAGTGTATGTATACACTAGATAATAATAAAAACATAATGTACAATGTACATACTATCATATAAATAAAATTATTATTACTGTCGTCTATAGAAGCAAACTCCATCAAGCCGATACGAGAATGTCCAAGAAAATAACAAATTATTAATTCAAATTCAAATAAATTCATGTATTATTAACAGCCAATAGGCGCTACGAATCAATTTCCAGTAATGCTCCACGTGGAGCAATTTTATATCGATTTTTAGAATTCAATAGTAGACATAACGCGCGAGACGCGTGACTCGTCTCAAACGTAACTTTTAGATTTTGACGGTCCGTCTCGAATGTGTTAAATAAAAATAAATAATAATTGCATACCATTTTCTTCAACTGTTTTTGAACATTTTTAAAAAAAATGTGTTATTGTACTTGTAGAGACTCGATGACGCTTCATCCTAATCAAATGAGTCTAAAAATGTAATAGCAAATAAAATGTAGTTATTTACCTAATAATTATTATGACACGTATATTTGAAATTTGAAAATAAATCTTACTTTTTTTTCACAATTATTCTAGTCTCTTGCAGAAGTAATGAACAA